GACATTTGGATCCAGACTCGACATTGGACTTCAGACAGTTTGACGAGGGATTATTTGGGAATTGTAAAGAGACTTGGTGTGGACGACTTTCCCATCTCTCCCCTCCTCTTCTCCGTCTGATCCTCTCCTCTTCGTCTGTGCATGAAATGGACCTGGCGCCTCTTCCTGTGTATAGCACCAGGCTCCCTTCACACCGTGTGGTGAGAATGATGTATGTTTGGTCTGCGTTGTAACATTGATTGGGTTAGTCATTAGTATTCTAGCATTCTGCTGCGCTATCTTGTACTACGTGAGAGAGGTCAGTCCCGGTCAGGTCAGGACTTCTATCTAAGTCTTCCACTGTGCTGTAAAGCATTGTATGTATCAGAATGTACACTGCTCGTTGAGATTTCACTTGCACTACATTGTCCATTCAGTCCTTTTCATCACATTGCGGATCCTTGGTTTATATGTACATCACCCAACTGGGCATGTACCACGGAGACTAAGAGCCATTTACAACCCTATAATAACAACAGAGGGATCTAGCTCATGACCAAGGTGAGGTAATGGATGGTTGGACCGTAGACCCCAATGATGACAGAGGCTAGGATCCCAACAGACTGACGTCCAATCAAGTAGCGTTCAGAATAACCACAATAACAGCATCACGAGGTAGGCAACCTGGGCTTCTCGAGGAGATGTCATGACATTAGACCTTGCCTAGGGAGGGACCATTAGACACTGCCCATGATATCTAGGCTATAGTTTGACTCATATCCCGCGCGCCCAGGTCATAACAACAATACTGATTGGGGGACACGCAGGGGAGTCTGAACCCCCTCAGGAAAGGCCTGTAGTCGCACTCTCACACCTAACTCCCAAAGAACCTGTGCTACAGGGCTTGCATGGCATCCGCTTCAACCGCTGTCTGGTCAGGTCACCTAGCCAAATTGGTGATGCGTGATGGTCCTGGGTGGTCCACACTAAGGTAGGACAGAGGGGGTGGTGGTGCACGGGGATAATTGGTCGGAGGAAGGGTGGAAGGGGGTCTTCGGAGGGTTACCCGAAAAAAAAAAAAAAAAAAAAAAAGGAGATGCCCATTGTGGGAATGGGGCTGCAGCTGCTGCTGTTGCAGTTGTTGCTGTAGCAGATGCCCCTCTTGGGAGTGTGGCCGCAGCTGCGGGTGCTTCATTTGGTAGGCTCGCTGTTGCAGCTGCTGCTGTTGTAACTGCAGCTGTAGTATTTTCCCCTCTTGAGGTTGTACCTGCTGCTGCAGCAATAAGTGCTGCAGCGGCGTTTATTGTTGAGGTTGTTGTTGTGTGTGTTGTCCAGCACTGAGCAACATTTCCTCTTGCATCCATTGCTGCTAAAACAGTTGTCCATCGTAGGGATGCATTTGTTGCTGCAGCAATTGCTGCTGCTCTGTGTGCTGCTGCGATGGGTTGTGCTGCATATGCTGTTGCAGTGGTTGAAGCTGCTGGAGTGTCAGCTGGCCCTCCTGGGGTTGCATTTGCTGTTGCAGTAGATGCAGTTGCAGCAGCGGCAGCTGCTGCTGCTTCATTTGCTACACCAACAGCTGACCACTCCTGGGACTGTGTTGGCTGTTTTGCAACTGCATCTGTTGTTGTTGTAGTTGTTATGGTTATTGTTTATGTTGAGGTAGCATTTGCTGTTGTCTCAGTTGGTGATGCATATACAGCTGTTGTAGTTGCAGATGCTGATTCTGCCCCTCTTGGAGTTGTATTTGGCAGAGCGGCGCTTGCTGCCGCCGCACCTGTTGTAGCAGCATTTGTTCCTGCAGCAGCCGCTCTTCAGGCTGCATATGTGGGTGCTGCAGCTGCTCATCTTGGGGTTGCATTAGCTGGTCTGGGGTTTGCTGCTGCAGCGATTGCTGCAGTGCTTGATCGTGTGGCTGTTGTTGCAGCAGCTATTGCTGCTCCGGCAAGCATTGTTCATTAAACTTCATTTGGCTACATTTGTTGCTAGTACAGCTACTGCTGATGCTGATGCTGATGCTGATGCTGCCGCTCTAACAACAGCTGTTCGTTCAAGCCGCTGTGAAAATTTTGTCACTTTGGATCGGTTCGTCAACTGAGTATCGTTTATGGTCCTCTGCAACATGACAAGGCTTTGCGCGGCACGATTCCTCCCTTCCCGAAGGAGTCATAATCATCTTTATGCGCATATCCTTGCCGAGCTACCAAGACCACACATGGCAGGGGGCGTTGCTGGTTCGCCATAGGAGAGGGTACACAGGGCCAAAACGCCGATCGAACCCGGACATGAATCGTGGTTTGGGGCATCAGTCTCTGAAGTGACACTTCATGATGGTCGACGACGATGATCGCAACACTTCACAATTTCTATGCCTTCTTTTACTCATCGTTATGCAGAGAAAACCACTCTTAGCACGGACAATCCACCAACCAACACCAGATTTTTTAATTTATTTTTTAATTTAATTTAAATTTTTATTTAATTTAATTTTATTTTAAAGGGCGGCAGTCTTGAGATATATCCACAGGTGACCGGCCCCGGATAATTCGAGATTGTTATGGAAGTTGTTATTGTAGATTATATGCCATGATCATGACTTATTGAGCTTCCTTATTGAGCTTATGTTGTGACAGGTATGTTGAGAGGTTTTAATTGTGGGTCTTAACCCAAATAAGCATCGTAATTATGAATGTCAGCTATGATGATTTTGACTGAGAACTCAACCTGAGAGCTCTTTTATTGGATGTGTATTGGGTGTGTCCCAACCGGCCGCAGCAGGATCTGAGCAGCCACTTCCACTTGGCCCGATGCTCCCGCATTGCAATGGGTTACAGGGCGGCACAACTCGCCCCAACGAGTTACCAGTGTTGACTGGCCGTGACCACCAATCCTTCTCAGGCCACTGAAAGTGATGGCAAACGGAAATAGAACCCAGCACCTACGTGGTGCCGCTCAGGCATGAAAACCTACTGAGCCAGCCAACGGGACCAGCCAACACCAGATTAACAAATTGGAAGCACATTTTTCATGTACAAGCGCATTTTAAACACTTTGAAAACTTATCACTCAAAGCTTTAGATACAGCACAACATATTCGCAAGGTGCCACGTACCCCTCAACGCCATCGCCACCACAATAGCACCAACGGACATGCCGGTGCTAGTAGTGGTATTATATCACCACCAGCAGGGGCCAAGTCACACTACAGGGTTGAGTTTCCTCAACTCCTGAATCCGGACGTGTTTGTGGAGATGTGCGTTTGAGGAAACTCAACACCATTTCTGCACATCTCCACACCCAACGCTGATAGTGGGACTTGGCCCCAGTTGTGCTAATGCCAGAACAGTGAGTTCTATTCTGTTGAGAATATTCTACGCCGCGAGTCATTGCATTCAACTCAAATTCAAGTATGTATGACAAAGACTAAAGATAGATGGAACACTATCATTTAGAGTGCATTTTTCATAGTAATAAGTTACTTTTTTTTTCTTTTTTTCTTTTTTAAACAGGGACAAATGCTCCAGTCTATTCGTGGAGAGCAGCACGTGTTGGGAACCGGGCCCAGCGTCCCATATAGAGTTACACAAGTCATTTGCAATACTGGGGCCTGAGAATCAATCTGAGAACTATTGAGAACTATTGAAGAAATTCAAGAGAATCAAAAAGAGGTTGAAAAACTATGACTGACTACTGACCTCTTTTCAAATGCTCAGAACCCCTACACTCCCAAACAAAACTCTCTAAAGTTGTCCAACACTGTCTTAGTAACTGTCGGGCTCTCCCAGGACTCCCACTCCCACTCCCACTCGACTAGGTTACAGAGCAACACGACTCGCTCCAGCTCCGGCCAGCGTCGTCCCAACAGCAACCCTTGGTTGTCTCTTGGAATGCCCACCCCAAAGCATCCCCAGATCTCTCTACCAGGCCTCATGCTCCTAAAGTCAGCAGGTTACTTGGCAACACCCCAACACCGGCCAGCATCGTTCTCGTATCGAACAACCGCAGATCCATGAATGTACTAGTATCAAACAGCCTAAAGCGAGTTGCTAGAAGTCCCCAGAATCCTAAAGCATTCTTTTTTTTTTTAGAGCACATACAGACAAAAATTGAGATACCGGGACTTCAACCCGGCTTTGTCTGAAGAATAAGATCATGAGCAATTACTAGCCTATTCGCTGAAGAGGAGTTTTAGAAGCAAAAATCGCCATCACAAAGGTCCTATAAATGCTCAAAACCCTCGGAATCCCTAGCAAATCCTTCTAAAAATCTCCAACACTGTCTTACTCCCTGTCGAGCTCTTCCAGGTCTCACACCCCCACCCGCCCGGGTTACAGGGCAACGCGACTCACCCCAGCTCCGACCAGCGTCGCCCAACAGTAACCCTTAGTTGTCCCTTGAAATGCCCACCCCAAAGCATTCCCAGATCTCTCTACCAAGCCTCACACTCCTGCATCACAGCAGGTTACAGAGCAACACCCCAGTACCGGCCAGTGTCGTTCTGGCATCGGACAACCGCAAATCACTGAGTATAACAGTAATGAAGCCTCCTAAAATGAGTTGCTAGGGGTCCCCAGAATCACAAATCATTCATAAGACCATGATTTATAAAATTTGATCACGGAAATATTCGGACCGAAAACCACCTACCTTTAGCGACTATCAGCAGTTCCACCCTATCTGCCTCTCTCCTATACCCCGATACCCAATCTCTACCAGGCCTCCCACCCCCAACTGCTAGGTTACAGAGTGGCACGACCTACCCCAAAAATCCCCCAACCTGCTAGGTTACAGGGCAAAACGACCCGCCCCGGCTCCGGCCAGCGTCGACTAAGTATCAGTTCGCCAATAGACACTAGAGTGCCTTCCACCCTCGACAACTCCCCAGATCTCTCTACCAGGTCTCATGTTCCCCTACCGGTCGGGTTACAGGGCAGCGCGACCAAGCCCCAACACCAACCAGCATCGTTCTGACCTCGTCCATTTGCAAACCACTGGGACCAAAGACATCAACAGATACCAGACAAGCCACCAATCGTCGCCATGGCTGTAGTTCCGATCATCCACTATTTCAGGCACTGGCTGCAAACATCCAACAAGACCTTCTCAACCTTACTATGGCAAGACCTGCTGCAGTAGAGCCACCATCTCCACCGCTGCTGTACCCTATTTTCGCCCTACTGGCTAGCCCCTTCGCCGCAGAGCGCATTATCTTCAACCATCACCGCAAGCACAATCCATTGCAACCAGCACCAAAATTATGACGATTTTTCCAATTGAAACCTAAAAAATCAAAAATAATTCAAAGAACACAGATACACACGTAGGAATCATAACCTAAAAAGACAGTCAACACCTATTATTCCCACAGGGAGAGAGAGGACGGGAGGGAACTACTTCTTTCCCCATGGAAATTCCTGCGCCTATTCACGTCTCAGTTGGATGTAAAAGAACTCACAAAAAACCGAGTGGCTTACTCCTCCCCCCAAAAAAAACAAGCTCCTGTCCTTTCGCTGCCTCCGCTGGAAGGCGCCCCCTCACCTCCCAGCCCCAGTTCAGAACAACCACCTAATTCACTCCTGCTCCCTCGGCAACATGCAATACCCCCTAGAGCATGCCCCCACAGAATTGAAGATCCCCCTTCCCTCGTGTCCCACCCCCTCCAAGTGAAACACCTCTCGACCTCTCATCTTGCTGAAAACAGCATGGCCCCTTGTCCTCCCTCCCAACCGCCGTGGCTGATCCGACCAAGATCAGTCTGGCCCAAAGGAGAACAAAACCCACAATACCGCCCCTACCCTCTCAAGGATCACACCTCCCACCTTGTATAGCCCTCGCAGGGAGGGACTCCAACCCTGAAGGAGATAATTCAATCAGCACCTATGAGCCCAAATCCTACAATATCACAGCTTAAGACTCGATTGTAACCAGTTTTTTGAGAATCCTCCAAACAAGTGACATCAAATATCGAATTCAAAAAAAGAGTCCAAAGTTATGCTCGCAAATATGGAGAACAACGTCAGATTTAGAATTAGATCAAAGATGAATAAACGTAGGACATCAATTCCACTCTGAGAAAATCAATTTGTAACCCTTTGTAATTCAAAATTGAGTAATCATTCATTGGGATCAGAGCAAAAACTCTGATTACGAATTTCAGATTAGGAATCGTGCTCATAGAATACGAATTTAAGATTAAGAATCCTACTAAGAAAATACGAATTTCAGATTAGAGATCTTGCTGAGAATCAGAAAAAACGAATTTCAGATTAGGGATTAATTACATCCAGAAAACACCTAAGATCTCATGAATCAGTTTTTAAACAAAGCACAATCATAAAAACGAAATCATTCAAAAAAAACCTCTGAAAAAATTCCCCGGCCACGCCAGCATCAGAATGCATCATCGTCAGAAAAATCCAGATCATGTTTTACGACGGAAAAATAAGCACTCAGTAGGAATTTTATAGGCTTGTAATCAGAAGGAAATTAGCACCTCAACCACCAGTCTTGTCACTTAGGAAAAACAGCGGACAATCTGCATAATTCCTTACCAACCCAAATTCCCCCCCCCCCC